TACACGTGAGGAATCAGTTGATATATTTTGTAAACAGTTAAACACACTTTCAATGCCATAATTAACAGGTCTATGAGAAGATGGTTCATAAATACACAGTAAATGTTTCGTTCTATCTCGGAATGAAGTGAGTAAGTTTTTGGCTGGATGTGTGCGATAAGAAAGAAATTGTTGGTTCAAAGATTTGGACCGGAGCCATCATCACGCCCTCTTTCCCCTGACCTGCTAAAACTTTGGGCCAGCGTCTCAGGGCAAAATCAAGAGAAAGAATTTATTCAATTGGAGTGGAAAATGCTTTAGTTTCGTATATATATATATATATATATATATATATATATATATATATATATATATATATATATATATATATTATATATATATATATATACAATGTATAATGTGGAAAACTTTTTCCCTTTTAATTCAAATAGTCTTTCTCTATAATAAATATTATTATTGCTTCCTTATTGCCGAAGGTAGGAAAGCTTTGTATTTGTACGGGATGTAAAAAAAAAATCCAGTCGCGTTTTACGTTTCAGATCAAGGTTTAAATTTGGTTCGGTAGAGATCTGTAGTCATATCGATGTATCGGACATATCACCTAGTAACGTTTATCCGATTTTCATGAAATTTTTAGGAAAGGTGCGAATTGATGTCTAGATGGTCCCATATTAATTTAATCAAATTCTATCCAACGATTTCCCTTTGGCACGCACAAATGTATTTCCTTAGCTATGCCAATATTTCAGAAACAGCTCGTTCGCTTTGACTCAAAGTTGAAACAAAGATAGGTTTTGGTAAAAAATAATGCTGTATCAATTTTATTGCTTTGCGTCAACTGCTTTCTCTTAAATGTACAATAGCTTAGATTGGTTCAAAGTTGAAGAGAAGTTAGGGATTGATAAACAAATGATCAAGTACATATCCATTTCAGAAAATTCGATCCCCTACTTTCAGAAAATACTTCCGCTTTCAAATTTCAAAACGTATTGTTTTTCACACGCTTATATTTTGAAAACTGCTCGTTTTCTGTTCGAAAGTTGAAGGAAATGCGGAGAATAGTGTAGAACTTCCCTAGTATCAATTTGATTTAATTCAATTCAACAATTAAAATTAATATAAATAACTTTTAAAAATATAATGGCTGTGAAATTTGGAAAGTATTGTTCAAGGTCAATAAAACTACCAGGTTCGCTCACTCAGAAATGCGTGGTGGGGCTACTTGAAACGTGACGTAAGGAATAGACTGCCAGACCTACCTATTACTCTTTCAAGCCTATTAATCCAGGCTTATTTCAACATTATTGTGCTTTTTTTGGGTTTTCTAGTTTAATTTATTGAGAAGAATACTTTTCTGTGTTTTTGACGTTTGATTGAAGATAATTTCAAGCAGATAAATAAATAAATACAGCTAGCAATCTAGAATAAAATGCTATAAGGATGACAGGCCAGAACTGAAACGAAATGAACGAAATTGATATTAAAATTATTTTTAAATTCTTTATTTCAAAATCTCTGTAAATAATATACAAATATATTACATAAATAGAAAAAATTAAGATTTATATATATTTAGAGAATATTTTAGCACAATGTTTGTTTAATCTCATGGGTATTTATTTTAATATTATAACGGATATTATAATAATATTATAAGGGTGAAGATCTTTGTCAGGATTTGCAGTAAAAATTTCTTTAAATAAATAAATTTAATTAAAAAAATAAACAAATTTTACTGCAAATCCTGATAATTTATTTTCACCTTATAATCTTAACAGTCAACTACTTATCCGTCTCTAAAACAATATTATAACGAGTATTTTTTTTTTTTTACTTTTAATAACATGTTACAGTGAATTCGTTTGTTCTTATTAGTATTTCTCTTAATAACATAATTATTAATAGAATCCTATAGAATGCCACGTACAAAATAAGCAGTTGCATCTTGCAACAATAATCTAATTGACACAAAGAAGATGGGAAAGAAAATTTAATTTCATACTTTTCCAAAGGACGCTCAAAGAAAAGATTGGCTTTTAAAATGTAAACGTAAAAATATTGTAAACAAATTTACTATCTTTTTCTTAGGAAACAAAATGTAGAAATTATGAAGAAAGCCTTTCTTTCAGCAAATGAAATTTTTAAATACCCAATGATTTTTACAACAATTAAGAAAACCAAAGCCAAAAAAAAATTGAGAAAAATCGCTACATAGGATTACTTATGACATAAAAATGTAATATTTACAATAATCCACGGAAAGAAAACTTTTCTTTAATGTTAGATTAAATACTTTTTCTTTTTTTCAATATTTCTATTATTTTATATTATGGTCTGTATTTATTTGAAATATTTAAAAAGTAGTATTGTGGTACTTTGCAAAAAATCATACATCAACTTGATAAATTACATTTTATTTGCTTCGGAATAAACCAAATATCAAATAAACCTTTCTCTCACCTTTCAAATTTATTAAAATTAATAAGTTATTTGGCAATACAGTATTGCTTTAATGTATAAAAGTAAATAATAATCTTAAAATGTCCAGAAACAAAGGCCGGAGGGGTAAACTCAGTCTATTGGCTACGTCAGAGCTCACAATTTCTCGCCGCCATTTTCCCTCTGAGTGAGCGAACCTGGTAGTTTTACTGACCTTGGGTATTGATCATGTGAAAGGTAGGTTATCTTCACAGTATTGTTTTATAAGGTTATAAAATTTTAAACTGAATTCAAAACAGTCGAGTTAAACTGGAATTTTTTTCTTTTATTTATTACTAGCATGACACTTACGGCCGTTACAAAAATTCGTAGTGATTGTGGGGGTTGAAACTTAGATGGCCCAAAATATATTTTGCCAAATCCTTTCACCAGCTTTCGCTTATCCATACGATTTTTCCTTTACTATATGTACAAATTTAAATACAATTTTGCACAAACTCTAAAAAAAACGTCATATTTGTTTCTTTTGAAATTTAACCAACTGGATCTGTTCTCGATTTTCCTTTCTAACTTTAAAGTGGTAAGGGGCTTTATTCCAAATTTTTTTGAATTAGCTTTTATTTAAAGGTAGAATTTAAGAATAAGTTTTAAATATGTATAGGTATTCATTTCCTGTATTTTATTAACTTCATTCATATTCCTATATTTCTTCTGGAATTACTTTTATTCTAACTGATGGAAAATGTCGATGAATTTGATGAGTAAACTATACTGGCCTTATTTGGCAGAGGTTTTTTTTTACTTTATTTTAATTGCTTGATTACATTTCTTCTTATTACATTTATCTGATCAAGAAATCATAGATAATTTCGAGATTAAAGTTTGAATACAAACACTACCGATAAAAAAATACCGATCAGCGTTCTTAACAAGAGCTATTAATGAGAAATAAATATATTAACTTACAAAATTATATTGTTTACTGATATTTGATGTTAATTTAAAAAACAATTCATAGATTGTTAAAAAATAACAAATAATTAAATTCAATCTAGATTGTTCGCTGAGGAAATTCACCATGGACTACCTTGGAGCTATACTATTTAGATAAAAAAAAGAATAGCAAATGTCGGTTCAAAAATACTAAGATTTGAGTGAAAAAAAAAAATCTGATGCGCGCAACACTCAACTTTTACTTACCTTTCTACTTTGAATAGAAATTATTTTATGGTAATGTTGAGAAATTATATAATTATTGAAGTACGCTTTTAACGGAGTTTTATCTTAAAGTTTACAGCTAATAAATCATTAACACCACTAAAATAACAAAAACCCTATTAATTATATAGAAATTACAAGATTTTCATTGGTTGCCATGGTTAGGTCAAAAGTTGTCACACTAATTGTAAGTGGATAATGTTGAAATTTTAAAAAAGTTACATGCCGATTTTTTTATACATCCATGGAATATTTTTATATTTCAATTCTTCTTTCACATAAGTTCTATGCAATACATTTTTTAACAATGCCATTGCCTTGATTAGGTGGATTTTAAATACTTTTAACTTAAAAAAAGGTTACATTTAGTTAGTAAATTTCATGTAATTTCCTTGTAAACGTGATATTCCTTTAAATAATATTAGTTTTTCATATTATTATTTATAATTTTGAGTAACTCTTCATTACTTTTTACGACTTTCTATATTAAATATTGTTTTTTTCCTAAAACTCTTCGCTTTCAAACAATATATTATACGAATATTTTCTGACTGGTAATTTCGACCTAACTAAAAACACTCATTTTTTATCCATTTTTAAATTATCAAATTCTTTCAAAAGTTATATTTAGCATATTTTTGTAACTCCTAATAATGAGTGATGTTTTATTATTTAAAATAAACCAAATTGAATGTACTTTAGTGGAAGACATCTAATCATTTAAGCCCTGTAAAGTGATATCAATAGGAATAACACCGCTTAATTATACAATGATACACCGACTTTAATCAAAATCGTTAGAGCCATTTTTGAGAAAACTGTAAAAATGTGTATAAATGTTAGCATAAGGTGCCACTTTCGGTTAGTCGATTTAACTAAACAGTTACTGTCATGTCCATACGGGATGTTGGTAATTTTGACTCTGGGGACCTGAAAACGTGTATTTCCGTTGAAAACTCAGATTCGTAAATTTTCATAATCACAATACTTTCCCTTACTATATATTACATATATAGGTAAGTGAATGTAAAAAGTTAGTCGAATTGAGAATTTCATTTTACGAAATCGGTTAATAAAAATAACACTAATATTTTTTTTTAAACTAGAGTATTTCTCATAGGTGTCTAAACACTTCTTATATACACTTTAAAGATATTTAATCAAAATATTTTGTTATTTCTGAACTAAAGAATTTTCACAATATACAGTTTATATGAGCGTTTAGTAAGCTATCCATCTAACCGTTACATCCAGAGAAAAGGGAAATTCCATAGATATAAATATATTACGGAATATATCCCCCCCTTAAGACGTTGAGCTCTGGAGCTGGACCTTGCATTGGAATGAGGTCCATTCTGGAGAGATTTGGCTCCAGCGTCCCTTGTGTCCGGTCTAAGCCCCTTCCCGAAGTATTACATATGTATATCTCTCCTTGTATCCTCTTACGCTAATTTTATTCACAACTGTATCGTTCCATTTTATTTATCTACAACATTTAGTTTCAAACATACTACAGATTAATGTAAAATAAATTATTTATTAATTAGTTTAGTTATAATATAACAATTTTTTTTTTACTAACTTATGTATTTCTGTGTCCCCGAGGAAAAGAATACCATGTCCATTTTTTTAATGATTTAGTAAATATGAAACAAATTTTAATATCTCAAAGTATTATTGGATCCCTTAACAAATACAAAAATGTGACAGGGTATCCTTTGTCTCCTAGGCACAAATTTAGTAACAAAGATACAAATTTTTGAAAGAAGTTAGTCAACTGTTCTACATATTATGGGTGATAAATAATCAGGACGCAGTCTTTTTTTTTAATTTAATTTTTTATCTATACCAACGTTTCAACCCAAACATGTGGGTCATCTTCAGAGCGTGGTTTAAGCACTGAGGGTGTTCAAGTACCTCAGTGCTCAAACCACGCCCTGAAGATACCCACATGTTTGGGTTGAAACGTTGGCATAAATAAAAAATTAAATTAAAAAAAAAAAAGACTGCGTCCTGATTATTTATCTCCAATAGGAAACAAATTTTTGTTGCTGAAAGTAATGAAAAATTGGTTCTGTGAGCACACATGAACATGTAACAGAGTGTTGTTTACCTCCGGGGCAAAGATTTAAAAAAAATTGTATTCATGAAACTTACTTGAAATATAACTATACTTAAATAAAAATACATCTAGTATACGTGAGCAGAGAAATATAATGTCATGAAAGGACTTCCATGAAAACCATTGTAGTACTCTAATAAAAGTTCTATATTAGGAGATCACGAGGCCACCTTCTTTTTTAACCGGCTCGAAGAGTTATCAAGTATCGAAGAGGAAGCAGGGTTAGAAACGAGAGGATTCAGGTGTTTATGAAGTTTATTATGAAAGGATAGGTATCTGGATTGGGCCGAATCGGAAACATATGGTACATTAACTTCATCATGGATTAATTTATTTGTGACAAAGTAAGTAACATTGAGGATTTTACGAAGGATTTCGAATTGTAAAGAATAGATACGAGAGCCCCAAAGCTTAAGTCCAAAGAGGTCTTATTATAGTAATGTAAATTGGTCTTTTGAAATTAATTCGAATTTTGAAGAGTATCTTTGAAGAATGAGTGCTGAAGTAGCCCGAAACGTCCATTGCTTTTTTAACATTTCAGTCTTGTATGAGACGTTTGTCCAGGTGGAGTCATAGGTAAGGATTTGTTCAAAAGGGATAATTGAACAGGGATGATTGAAATTATCTTTTGCTTGATATTGATAACTCATTTATCAATATCTTCGGATTTATCTCTTGAGAGTCGGATCTATTGTGTTGTATTATATTGAGTTTAAATTAAAAATAATTAACTCACACTGAATCAAAACTGTGTAATGTTTCCTCTAGATCATTGATTTTATCAACAGAGCCTTACTGTTTGAAGAAACTAAATAAATAAATGGAAAAAAAAAGGTAATAAAGAGGGGTGAAGTAGCGAGTGGAGGGGGCGGGGACAGCGGCACTCACAAAGTTTTCTCCGGAGCCAAAGTTTCTTCTTCTATTTCGGGCTCTTTGTTTATTCCACCTGTTCGGTTCGAATCGGCCCATCTTCTGGTTCTTATAGTTCTAAGGCAAGGCTCGTTTTCAACTTTATGGGATTATCTACAAATAGAGTTTTTTTAAATATCTTGTATGACAATTTAATGGAAAAAAATATTTATGTTTCGAACATATTTTTTTTTTTTAGTTAATATTTACATATCCTATCATACAATCCAATATCCTATTATATTATTTTTTTTTAAATATACTTTTGATAATAATACTTCATATTTACTTTCTTGTCTTCCTATTATCATTATATAAATAGACAAAAAACAGTCCAGTCCTTTTTTTTCTCCTCTGTTTCTAAACCTTTTTTTTTTTTTCAAAAAAAGACAATTCCAAATAATAATAATACATCCAAAATAATATTATCTGTCTAGGAACAAAGGAAAATAAATAAAAGGTGACTCCTAAATAGCAAAAATCCTAGCAACAAAATAGCATTACTTCAGTAACACATTCAAAAATTCAAATCTAAAACAAAGGATTTGCAGTAGAACATATTAAAAACATTTAGAGACCTTATCTTTCCTCCGAATTGTTTTATTTTATTTTTTTTAAGCAAGTTAATAATAACCATAATGCCATTATTAACTTGCTATCCCTCTGTCATCGTGCCATTATTAACTTACTACCCCTCTAACATATAATGGTCAATATATGAGTCGTTTATTACCAAAGTGCACCCTAATCGAATTGATACAAGTATCAATTCTAAGGTAAAAACGACCAATGAATCCGATGGTTCAATAAAAATAAGTGAATATTTAAAAAATGTTGTGGAAAAAACAAACTTGCATTTCTTGCATATTTTTTTTTAAATCAACAAATGGGCGAACCCATTTTTTTAAAATGATAATTAATGGTAGACTGTTTACCAACTGCTTATTGCAGTGAGTGCCACATGACACGCCCTGATGACGACCTGCAAGAAAGGTCGAAACGTCGGCATAACCATTAATAATACTTTTTTTTAAGGTTTAGTATTTATCTAACCTCAACCCCCGCTACTTCTCATATTATATAACGGTCAACCATCTCTACATCATTATGAAAAAATACTTATTTTGTTTCATATGCCCTGGAATGATGATGGGATCAGGAGACTCTTTTGGGACACACAGCCTCTATAAAGTGGATATTTAGTTAAGGGGGAAACCTGGCGGTTGAGCGTGATCTCTGTCAAATCACCTCCTTGCACAATCGATTTCAATTTTTATTTCTTAACTTTTTCTTACCGAATTATAAACCATTATTTTTCTCTACAAAATACAGCCGAAAATTAAGATTAAGGAAGCATTGAAAAGAAAATATAAGTCTTCTCTCTTTTGTTACCTGTGACTAATTATTAATTCCTGTTTTAGCTGTGCATGTGCTCTGATGTTTATATGTGGCAGGCCATATTTTTTTTTTTGCTATTGTATATAGAATAAGTATCTTTTTTGTTATTTTTATTGTTTTAAGTATCTTTCTATTTACCTTTAATTGTATATAGCAATTATATGTATTTTTTTCTTTTTCCTTTTATTTTGTTTCTTTTGCTTGTACAATGTATTAATTCTGTAAATAGATCTCTTAACCTTTTTTGCTGCTTTATAAAAATATCCTACCTAACCTCTTTTCACTTGAGCTAGCATGGTATGGCCAGATAATGGGTAAGTAACTTATATTTTCTATAATTATCTCTTTAGAGATGAAAGGCTGGTAAAGCCAGGCGCCCAACAGTTCCGATAAAATCTGATAGATATAATTCCGATAGAAAATTATATTTATTAAAAGTGATTTTATTATCTTTTTATTTATCCTCCTTTAATTTCTTGCCTCTAGTTGGTGAGGAAAGTATTGCAATCGGGTCAAATTTCCGATATGCGGTTTTTGACGGATATATACGTTTCAGAGCTCCCTGAGTCCGAAAAACACATTTTTAGCCGTTATTCTGTCTCTCTGTCTGTCTGTGCCAAGAATTTCTCGAGAACTACTGAACTGATTGTGTTGCTTCTTTTTTATTTTGTAGCGTTTTGACTACTGATGGTTTTTGATGCCTGTGACAGAAATTCGGTGCTCGATGCCCAATAGCTTGCGCGCAATAATTGAAAATATGTTTTTCTATAGACTGTAGCGCAAAAACGGCTCTAACGATTTTAATGAAACTTTTCTATAATGTTCTAATTATTGTCCTTTCAATTTTCGTATATAAACTAAATTCCCGAAAAAATTTAGGAAAAAAAGTTATAGAGAAAAGAAAAATGTTTTGGAGCCTAACTTGCTAAGTATATAATTCTATGGTAAAATTTATAACAAAACTTTTGAAAAGTAATTAAATTACCAACAAAACAAAAAACAATCATCGGAATCGAACCAGTATTAGCGATGATACAGCTTATTTTATTTTTTACACACTTTTTTAACTTATTACTTTCCTACCTATACTAGGTAAGAAAAGTATTGCAATCGGGTCAGGTTTGTTGGTATCAGTAGGGTTTTGACTACTGATGCCTGTGACAGGAATTTGGTTGCTCCATGCCCACTAATTTTCGTTGGAAAGGTAATGGAATTCCCTACAAAGCCATATAAAAATCGTTCATTTTGGACAACTATTAACGAAGTTACAGCTATTCAATTTCCAATGTAAGATTACGGGTTCCTGGTGTTAGAAAGGGGTGAATGAGAGAATAAAGACGACTAAGTGAAACTAAGAAAATCTGTTGTCCGCATCATACAATCTTCACTATTTCCTCTACTTTTAACAGAAATTTTGGTTTGACAATACTAAGCTATGGCAAAAAGGTTTTGATCAGCAATATTAGTGAGTATTGAAATGTTTACAAAGATCTACCTTAAGGCGGTTTCCATTGCTTTAGTTTATCAAATAAATCGTACTCAAATCTTTTCAGGAAAATAAATCTAGTTAATTTTTTTTTGTTTCTTCATGAACATATGTAAAGATATAAAAACTTTTCTGAAATAGGTTGGAAAATCGTGTGAGTGGACGCACCAGATATTTTTATGTCATAACAGGCTTGAAGTTTCTTAATTTCCAAAAGAGAGCCTATTGAAGTTTCAATGTTTTTTAATAGTGCTGAAATAATCACTGATAATATTATGAAATATGTTCTAAAAATTTGGAATTTCTGAATTCCTAAAAATGCAGCGACAACTATAATCAACTCATGGGCATTATACTTCTTTTATAATTAATATATATATATATATATATATATATTTTTATAATATATCTAAATAATATATATTACATTCTGTTGACAGCCGGAGGAGTTGAGCACCACGAGTTGCCGGTGATCCTCTACGTCCACGGCGAGTCCTTCGAGTGGAACTCCGGAAACCCCTACGACGGCTCCGTCCTCGCCAGCTACGGTCACCTCATCGTCGTCACCATCAACTTCCGCCTCGGCATCCTAGGTTAGTCTTATATTTAGTTATATATTTTTTATATACATCTAATATTATTTATATCATATACAGACAGGGGTTTGAAAAAGTCTTCGAAAAAAACAATTTTTTATAAAAATGATTAAATTTTCAATTCAAGTGTTTTTATCTTCTTAATTGTAAATTTATTTAACCCTCCAGACATTATATATGTAAAAATATATATATATTTCTTTTGTTTATACAAAATGTATTTGCGCCTACATTGCTGATTGTCAACAATAAGTTGGCAATCAGCAATGTGAATGCGAAACATGAAATAATGACATGACAGGCATGGGGAAGGAAAGTACTCAGCAGTACCTCTTCCCTAACTTGTTCCAATTACTTAGGTTGTCTAAGGAAGGAGATCCCTCATCCAACGCCTTTTTAGTCTCCTTCTGTTCTGAGGTATGTCAGCTGTGGCCACGTCTCTTATAAGTCTGTTATTATGTCCGTTTAAATTTGTGTAAAATCGTTGATATAGGGTCGTTATAAGTTGTCAACTGTTGGAAAGTGGAGGTCAGTATGTAGAGTTTTGTTAGTCACGTACCAAGGTGCTTTTGTTATGAGTCGCAATAATTTTGATTGGAACGTTTGAAGTTTTTGTAGGTGGGTCTTTTTAGCGATGCCGTATATTTGTGATGAGTATGTCCATTTGGGCTTAAGTATGTATTTGTATTCAGTTTCTGTTTTAGTTTTAGTTTTGAAGATTTAGAAAAAAAAAAGAATAAAGTATTTTGAGTTTTTTGTTGTCTCTTACGTTTCATTATAAGAAAATATATTTAAATTAAATTTTTTTTTTTTTTACTCTAATAGCTTATTTATTGAAATATATTACAATCTGTCTCAGGGACATGATTAAAATTATTTTTAAATAACAACGAGCCAAGAGAACAATGCCAAGAATGTAAGTTGCGCCATCAAAATTATTGGAAGGGGGTATATTTTGACGAGTTTTTAAATTTTCTAGGGAGGCAAGTTTCGACAGAGTTAGGAATTTTCCGACTAAGGGACGAGTGGAAACACGGAACACGCAGCAGAAAGTGAAAAACTATCTCCTATTTACCAAATTATACCTTAGCTTGCTCTGTTTACGAAAAGCGTGTAATAAAATATGCTGGGAGGAGGGGGTTCTTGCGCCATGAACCTTGGTGGAGAGGTTTCACTACTTTTTTTCAACTTTAGTCTTTACTTATTGTTAACAACAGAAGCCATTGTATAAACTCTCTTGACATATATCAGAATCAGCTTGATTTTTTAACAATCAACAATCATATTCTGCTACGGGCTACATTTCGATGGTACTGAAATATAAATGAAGGGGGTGGCCCGGGGTGGCGGTCATAAATAAGCTTAATAGTGGCTAAACGATTTTATTAAAAACCAACGTTTCGACCCGATTTTGCAGGTCTTCTTCAGGGAGGTGTGTTCAGCTAGGAGTTCCAATCAGTTCTAATAGTTTTACCACTATTTAGCCTATTTATGACCGCCACCCCGGACCATCTAGTTCCTTTATAATGCAACGGTCAACTATTAAATATTCAATAAGAAATTTAATATCTTTATAAAATTTAATATTTTCAATTTATAAAAATATAATTTTGTATGTATTATTCTGGTAAACTTTATTCGTAAAGTGATAGATCTTCATTTCTATCATATTCTAAAAATGAAACAATAGGTTTATAATAACTATTATATGCGATGAACATTTAATTTCTGATTTTTACGGCTGATTAAAAAAAAAATCTATATTTACTTCTGCAAATTGAATTATGAATTCTTCAATGTGTTTAAACTTTGATATATTCTAGTTCAAATGTTAAAAACAGTCATTATTATTATTATTTATTTTTTTAAAGTGAAAACTTCTTTAAGCATGTTTTTTTTTTTTTTTTTTTTGTGGAGAGTGAATTGGATTGATCCGTCAAATTTTCGAAATGTTAACATTCGGGTAAAGTCGGATAGAGTTGACTAATTGAAATGTTTTCACAGGATTAAAATATATCCGAAACTAAAAATCAGGCCTGCATACTGTAAGCTAGGAAATTGTTGAACATTTCATCCTCTCTGTATATACTATAATTCAAAATTCTATCTTAATTCGACGTTTAGTTAGAGATACAAAAAGGAATAAAATAGTGTCGAAAAGAATGATAAAGAGTTTAGTTGATCATATGGATTAAAATAATTTCAGATATTAAAAATTGGAAATGTATATTGTAAACAAAGTGAATGTTCAGCATTTCATCTTCTTTCTCTCTTAACCCAACACCGTTTTAGAGAGTAAGAGAAAGAAAAAGATAGTGTTATAACCAAACCAAATGATAACGAATTTTATAGAAGGTACGCATTAAAATATCTCAGAAACTAAAAATCGGGCCTGCGTACTGTAAGCAAGGGAAATGTTCAGCATTTCATCTTCTTTATATTGAACTATTATTTGTATTTATATTTCAGATTATTAATCACGCCTTGTTGATGTTTTCGCCTATATCGTTTGGTCTGAAGCACACATCTTATTTATTTTTAGGTGCAATTTTTTTCCCTTTCCTACTCGCTAACTCGTCGTCATATCAAAACATAATTTTGAATTGTAGCTCATTACAAAGAGGATGGAATATTGAAACTTTTGTTTGCTTAGAGTATTCAGGGCCGATTTTTAGTGGCTGAGGTAGTTTAATCTAAATATACAAATTAGTTGACTCGAGGCGACTTTACCCCAATGAGCGTTATATAGTCGAACGTGATGGCTCATTTTTATTTAATATTCTCAAAATAAAGTTCTAAATGTACTTAAGGAAATTTAGTATGTAGCTATTTAATCTTACTTTTTTCACGGTTTTTTTTTTTAATGAGTCTAGAAGCATCAACCTAGGTCGTTTCTAAACTTAGCATAAACTGCTGTCCATCACTGATGAATTCTATCAATGGGCTTAGCGTTGGATTTTAATACTCGCTCTTATTGCGTGCCCACTCATTTGAATCGACTGCTCAACCAACTGTGTGTAACCCGCGGTGAATGTAAAAAGCCCTCGCGATATTTAAGACCGGCTCAGGGCCCGGAAGAATTTCCAATCCATTTAGCCTCTTTAATACTTAATTACGATAAAATGACTGAGGAAGAAGGGGAAGCTGGGAGGGGACTCAGAGGGGCTTTTTGTTTCAGTCAAACTGAGTCCTTTGTTATTCAGTTAGCTACAACTCATCGGTATTCAATTCCAGGTTTGGGATGGGAGGGGGGAAGGGCATTTGTCCCCAGCGGCAGAATTTAGGAAAAGAACAAATTCGAACGAAATTGTATTTTTAGGTTAAATAAAACTACTTGATTAAAGCTGAATATTTCGTTTTAGATCAAAGAATAAAATTAAGTATTATTATGGCTATCTCAAAGATATAATAGAAAATAATTATTAGGATAAATATATAAAATATCTCAGAATCAATATCAATTTAAAGATATAAATTGGTCGGTAATACATATAGATAATAATAATAATAAAATTCCTAACGAACCCGAAGGTTCGATGCCGATACCACCAATCGCTTATTACACACCTCTCCCTACCGTTCAAGGGTTGGGCTTTAACGCAACTTGCCACCTTCGCTTCGGTCTATCCCTCGGACGTTTACCATTCGGTACAGCAAATATTAAATGTTTAGGAATTTTTTCGTTACTAATCCCAACAATTTTACAAACCATTTAATTCTCCACGATGTAATCACCTCGATTATATTAACTGGATAAAGTTCACGAAATTTGGCATTGTATAACCTTCTAAACTCCTCGGTTAACTCATCCTTATCAGGTTCGAATATTCTTATTTTCAAAAACCTTAAGACGTTGCTCATCCCTTAATATAAGCGGCCACGTTTCGCAACCATAAAGAACTGTAGGTAAGACAATGGTTTTATAGATTCTAGTTTTTAAGTTCTGGGACAAGATATAATAATACCACCAATCGCTTATTACACACCTCTCCCTACCGTTCAAGGGTTGGGCTTTAACGCAATCTTCCCACCTTCGCTTCGGTCTATCCATCGGACGTTTACCATTCGGTACAGCAAATATTAAATGTTTAGGAATTTTTTCGTTACTAATCCCAACAATTTTACAAGCCCATTTAATTATCCACGATGTAATCACCTCGATTATATTAACCGGATAAAGTTCACGAAATTTGGCATTGTATAACCTTCTAAACTCCTCGGTTAACTCATCCTTATCAGGTTCGAATATTCTTATTTTCAAAAACCTTAAGACGTTGCTCATCCCTTAATATAAGCGGCCACGTTTCGCAACCATAAAGAACTGTAGGTAAGACAATGGTTTTATAGATTCTAGTTTTTAAGTTCTGGGACAAGATATAATAATACCACCAATCGCTTATTACACACCTCTCCCTACCGTTCAAGGGTTGGGCTTTAACGCAATCTTCCCACCTTCGCTTCGGTCTATCCATCGGACGTTTACCATTCGGTACAGCAAATATTAAATGTTTAGGAATTTTTTCGTTACTAATCCCAACAATTTTACAAGCCCATTTAATTATCCACGATGTAATCACCTCGATTATATTAACCGGATAAAGTTCACGAAATTTGGCATTGTATAACCTTCTAAACTCCTCGGTTAACTCATCCTTATCAGGTTCGAATATTCTTATTTTCAAAAACCTTAAGACGTTGCTCATCCCTTAATATAAGCGGCCACGTTTCGCATCCATAAAGAACTGTAGGTAAGACAATGCTTTTATAGATTCTAGTTTTCAAGTTCTGGGACAAGAGGCGTAGCTAAGTAGTTTTGTCACAGAAAAATAACAAGCGTTTCCGACCTTCAGCCTAACCTTAATCTCCTCTTCAATTTCATTGTTTCTACTTATCGTAGACCCTGGATACTTCAACTTATCTACCTGTTCAAGCAAATTACCTTCTTCATCGATATCAATAGTAGTATCGCCATTTTCGCAGCTAACCAAATATATTTTGCCTTATTCGTGATTATTTCGTGCTCAAGTTTTTTTACCAGTTGTCATATTTAGTTTTATAGTTTCCGTGTCTTCGCTTAACAGTACTAGGTCACCCTCATAACCAAGCACGGGTGTTGTTCCACCCAGATCCAACCCTTTTTCGGTACGCATTACCTCCCTAATGTTCTAACGTCAAATTGAACATGACATGTGATAGGGAATCTCTTTGTTGCAAATCCGAATGGACATCAAACTTTTCAGATAAATTATTACAGATTCTAACTTGTCAAGCACGTTCTGACTAGATTTACTAATTTGTTGGGGGTCTCTTGCTAGATTAGAATATTCTACAGTTTCTGGCGGTCAAAGTATTCGCTATTCGGAACAGTATACGGACCTAAGAAAGATTAGTTAACCGAAGAATTCAGAAGGCTGCACAACGTCGAGTTGCGTGAACTGTATCCAGTAAATATAATTGAAGTGATTTCATCGCGGGGAATCAAAGAGGCTTGTAAAATAGTTGGGCTTAGTAACGAAAGAATTCCTAAAAGGTTAATATTTGCTGTACCGAATGGAAACGTCAGAGAGGTAGACCGAAGCGAAGGTGGGAAGATTGTGTTAAATCCGATCTGAAGGGACTGGGTTTGGACGGCGAACGGTGGAGGGAGGTGTGTAACAAGCGATTGGTGGTGTCGGCATCGAACCTCCGGGTTCGCTAAGCCTTTTATTATTATTATTTATTCTGGCAGTCAACGAAACGTAAGCCTTTTTGCAGTTGGTGAAAAGTACCGTTTACTCCAATATTTTTTTTCTCCAATATCTTCTTTATTCTCAAAGAAAATATTTGATGAATAGTAGAGCGTATCCTTCTAAATTCGCATTGGTAGTCTCCTTTAATTTCCATTATAATATAATAATATTATATTCCATAATAATGTATTATAACTCAGATAGTTGTTAATAATTAAATATAGTGATGGATAATATGTCTGGGCGATATTATCCGTCAATATTTTTCATTATTAAACATTATATGTCCTTATAATATTATATCTCTGATCATATGAAATAGTTTTCATTGATGACTTAATAATGACTGCGTCCTGAATATTTACCACCCATGATATATAGAACCGTCAACTAACTTCCTTCATTGATTTATTTATTTAAGCTTAATCGCGATATATGTCATACCGTCAAGACATTTTTACTTCAACCGCGCGTAAAAGCTCCACGCACTCTTTTTTTTCGGGTTAAAAACAGGTCTTTCTACTTTAGGGTACATGCTATTTGAGCCTCGGCTTTTACCCACCTTAAGCGACCCGGCCTACATCAAAGGCTGATCGACGATGCTTTTAGTGATGCCTCATCATCAAAGTGCTCGTTGCATTAAATTTCCCATTTCCTATCCCCCCCCCAAAGGTGAATAGATAATTATAAAATCAAGGTAGAAAACCTAACTGCAATTTTGTAATCAAAAACTGCAAAATGCATTGCATTTATTGTGTCCTGGATTGATCTCTAATATAATAATAAGTTCTGTTTACTTGTATTGAAAATAAATAAAAATGATCATGAAGAGAAGAATAGTTGGGGTGGTCAGTCAAAAAGGAAGGCAAAAATAAATGATAATATTTATTTTTACATATGCCGACGTTTCGACCTGAAGTTCAGACCTTCATCAGGGCTAAGAAAATAACCAGATAATAAGGTATGATAAACATAAGTAGTGTTGGTAAAAAAATAAATAAATAAAAAATAAAATAAATAAATAAAGTAAAATGAAATTGTTAGAATAATGACTAAGAACTAAGATATAAATAATAATAACCGTTACAAAGTGTGGAATGATGAAGTAGGCATAATCAAAAAGGGTGTCATAAGTGTTACAATGGGAATCTTAGAATAAAATATCATTTATTTTTGCCTTCCTTTTTGACTGACCACCCCAACTATTCTTCTCTTCATTATCCACGACAGTCAACCAATTACCAATTATAAAAATGATCATCTACACTATATAAGCGGGACACCCTATTAGAGGGAAATATTTCAAAGCTTGACAGTACATATCAACATCTACAAAAAAGTTTATATAAACAATTGCTCATTTTTATTGAAAAAAGAGCAATACATTAAAATATATTTTAATTGAGTAATTTAACATTGCTCCATAGTAAACTAGACAAAATTTACTCTAAATCAAAGTATAGTTTGCCATTGTTAAAACTAGGGCTGATGTTTTGAACATTAATTATAAACACTTCAAACAAACAAATAATATTTGTAGCATACGTAATACAAACGAAACAGAAGATCTCTATGACTTCCTGGCTACTTTTCCGATATTCTCTGAATTTAAAATTATTTATTATTTATTTAATGAAATATACAACTATATAAACAATACAACTAGTAAAAATGCACACATTAGAAATCATGACATGAACAGACTTGAAGGTATACTGCCCAGTGGTAGCACTTCCTATTTAATTCTAGGTAAGAAGATCACGAGGCCATCTTCTTTTTAGAGACCTAGGTGGATTATCAGGAATAAAGGAAGAAACAAGTGGATTCGGATGGGACTGTAGTTCATCATGAAAGAATAAATATCTGGCTCGGTCTAAATCAGCAGGATATGGGACATTAAGGTCTTTATGAATGGTTTTATTTGTGACAAAATATTTGGCATTAAAGATTGAGGAAGGGTTTTGGATTATAAGGATTGGATACGAGAGGAATTCGATGGTTTAGTAGAGCCCCAAAGCTCAACTACGTATGTCCATATAGATCTTATTATGGTTAAGTAGATGAGTCTTTTGTAATTAATTGAAAGTTTAGAGCGTTTGTCTAGTAAGTGTTTGAGCAGTCGGAAACGTATTAAAAATTAAATGGTTAAAATCTAGAAATTTATTTCGGGTCAATAGATCAATAGATTTAATTAATAGAAATAATTGGATAGCATTGGTAAATTACTACAAGTCTGCTTTCTCCTATAGAATAGAAGCACACCAGAGAATTTACCAGTTAATAAATTGGGAAATGTTTGTTCCAATCTTATTATAATTAAAATAATTACATAACTTTTACGTAGGAAATATAATTGTTCTTATTTTTTTATTTATTAGTTACATATAAATAGATTGAAATATAATTTTGTTATAAAACACATACTCCTCTGATCAGCAGACCATGTACCACGTCTGATTTTTGGTTTAAATCCGAAAATATTATTTTTGCATTATTTTGTAATTATTATTATGTAATTTTGATAAATAAGAAAACTTTTTCTTCTTTTTCATTGTTAAAACAATTAAAAGAGGGCCATTGAATGGATAAACTAAACTAAGTTGTGTTTTTTTAATAAGATTTAAATTATTAGATACCACAGTTATCTCACATATAGAAAAACTTCCTCATTAATTAAGCTTTAATTCTATGCTTATAAAATTGAGGTTTATTTGTAATTTTTTTTGAGCTTCGTCTTAAGTTGTAAACAAAAATTATGTGATTTTTATGCTGTCATCTATAAGTGCCCACGATTTCTGCAAAAATTACTAAAATTAACTGTTACAAAGTTTTATTTCTTGTTTTTTCATTATATTAGACGTATTTTAATAAACTTAACTTGCTAAAAACACATTTTTTATTTATCTTTAATTGTCAACTCAGATCTGTTGGGAGTGGCAACAACCAGCTGAGTGAGCTGTCGTAGAAAATAATAAGGAATAAGACGTTGGGAGGCCTGAGGGAGAGGAGTGCCCTGCGTCCTCTCTTCCTATCTTCATTTAATATTTATATTTAGTGGAGTAGATCCCTCACCTAACTTATTTTGAGCCTCCTACGGGTGCCATCGGGCATGTTGGTTGTAGCCATGCCCCGAATCAACGAGTTGGTATGTCTGTGTAAGTTATTGTAAAATATTTTTTAGTATGTTCGTATGAGGTCTTGAACTTTTGGCATCTGTAAGTCTTTATGTAAAGTAATGTTACTAAAGTATGATAGAGCTTTGGTTATAGTCCTGAAAGTTTTTGATGGACTAAAAGTCCTTAGTTTACGAGTCTTTTTAGCTGTCCCGTTTATCTGTGAAGCAATTCTGCACTCTAGCGATTACTTCAGAAACAATTCACATAGTGGTATAGTCTTGGACCCGAACCAATTTCATAAAGTACTGAAACAGGAATTGCAATATATTGTTAATGTCGTTTGTTTATTGATGTTCTACGGCTAAGTATTAAATACGATTCTGAAATTAAAATTGTTAACATATTTTCTTTATAAAAATGTTGCAAACTATTGAATGTGTGGTATTTATTACTTTTATCTGCACAGAAGGTGGTTTGTTCTATTCGTTGTGAAACATCGAATACGTCATTTCTGATTATTTGACGTGGTCTCATTTTTCACTTTTATTATGTAACTTTGCACCAAACGCTTAAATCTGGCAAATTATTTACTTCGCATTGACAATTATTATTTGACTTGTCTTAAATTATACAATGCAAATTATCTGTCTACTATATATTCGTTTAGCCATATAATGGATACTGATCCTTGTATCCTTGTTTTCTGTTGCGCAATTTTGGCACTTCCTTTGTCGTTCGCTTAATGTATTTTCCAATTTTTGGGTTTTCCCTCATTTTGAGACTAAATACTAACAATCAGTTTCAGTTACCTATAAGAACTTATAGCTTCGCCCTTTCCATATTTCTTTTGTGCAGAGAGAATAATGCATTTATAATGCATTGTGATATGGTCCAACTTCCGAAAAAAATAAAGGAAATAAAAATGATTTTTTTAATAGCGATATGTGAATTGTACTAAACAATTCATCACCTATTCATTAAAAGTAGTTCAGATTAGGTATATATTATTTTAGTTTATAAAACAGATATTAATATGACTCATTTCAGGGGAAGTAAATACAATTTAAATTACCTCTAAGAATCAGTAAATATATAAAATAAAATGTTAAATTGCAAATATTAAATAAAAAATTCAAGATATTCTGCAAAGTATTTTTGAATTAAGTTTTATAATTATAATTATATAATTTTTATAATAGAGGCCTTGTTAAGCGACCTCCGTATAGAATAAAGGAAGCTAAATTTTAAAAAACGAATAATGATAAATAAAAATAATAATAATAAATTAAAAAAAAAATTTGACAATTTAATTATTGTATTAATATTTGTTCGTTAATAGAATCAATATAATATAACAAAAACGTTATTATAGCACTATAACTAAGCCATTTATGAGTACTGAGTGGTGTGGTAGAGGCCTGAAGGCACCTGCGCCAGTAGCGCTTTTCTGCCGCTTATGTACATTTTATGCGGAACTACTTCAAATATTTTAAAAAGTAATCATAGTTTTAGAAAGAGAAATGTATTCTACAGATGTTTTATTTCAGCATGTTTTGCATTATTGTTGACCGTTTAGTCACAAACGACGCCTGATTTTCAACATGAAAATTTTTTTGTAAAAAAAAAATTGACTTTACAGAATTTTTTAATGCCTAAGCCAATTAGTTTTAAATATTTTTCCATGTTTTATTATTCTCTGACTATCCAGCTTTAATCAAAGACCAACTATGATGAAATTAAGCCAATTGCTGATTCTCAGTAACAAAAAAACTAACTAAAGTCAAAGTCGTCAATCCGCCATGTTTGAACGCAATTTTGGGGCAGTTTGTTCACTTTTTTTTTGTGGGAACATTGGCTTTTTTTTAATAAATTGTCACAAGGAACACAACGATATGCAATTTATAGGGATGTGGGGGGGGGGGGGGTGCACGGTAAGGGGGTCTGGCCCACCGTGTAGTAGTTGTATCGTCGGTATTTACGTATAAAAAAAATAATAAAAAAATGTTAATTCGAAATGTATTCTTCACTTACCAATAATAACCCAATGAAATTCTGGCTAATTCCTTATTCGACATTCGATTAATATACTCTTCTTTTTTTTTTTCAAGAACGTTTCCAATAAATAAAAATTATGGTCGTTCATCTGCTTCATTTATATTTTTTTATTTTATTATGGACTGTGAACGTGACACTAGAAGAAAAAATAGATGTCCAGGGTACCGTGAGAGGAAAAGAGTTAGGTAGCATTCAAAGACGAAACATCTGACAGCCTCTCAATAGGAATGTAATGACAGCTAGAAATCTCTATTCAACATGGATTCCTTTAAGGACGGATGTAACAGATCTATATTGCACTTGTTTTGCAAATCAGGCATGGAAAAATTGAAAGCTTTTAAATAAGTATAGTTTCTTGCTAAAAATGTTTATATTCATTATAAATCAGACTATTATAACTTTTATCTACCCTAAATTATTGC